TCAAAATGCAGAGCAAATACAAAATGCTCCCATGAGTAAGACTGATGGGTGTTTTTATCCCACGTAATGCCGCCCTTAATTGTGATACTAATTGGATCAATCTCAATGACAGCATTATCCTTGTCAGTGTCAAACTTAATTTTATCCCTTCCTGGCTCCCATATTGGATAATCGCTCAATTCTTCTTTTTTGCATAGAATGATTATGTAACAAATTTCATATTTATAACGAAGTGTTCCTCCAACTCGTAGCTCAATCATGGGATATTGACCTAGTTTGTCATCACGTTTGAAACTGGCTTGATAGGCTATGAGCAAATCTTTGATATTTGCAGAAATCATGTTACGGCCATAAGAAGAGGTAAAGTTAGCTGGTTTAGTGAATGGAGGACTGGGAAGCATATGGTCCGGCACAGGTGGAGGCTTAGCAATATAAACACTCCACCAGATGTATTGTCCTGGCAACAGATTTTTCTCTGATGTGATACGGCTATATAAATTCAGATCCTCAGGTTGACTGCCCAGCGGCCCAGTGGCAATGAAACTGAAACCACAAGGCTTCCCAATCTGATCAGGACCATACCCATATTTTCCAACCTTCTTGAAGGATTGAAATTTATAACCATCATCAACCTGCATATCACGATACTCTTTATTATGCGTTACATGTATTAACGATTTAATCTCGACTTCATGTGACTTTAAATCAGGCACAGCTGTCTCTAGCTCCTCAAGCAAGTCGCATGTCTTCCACGGTAAGTGAGTCACATGTACGTAAGGGAACAAAATCTCGTAATGCGCTTTCGCCCAGTCCTCTTTAAAGCTGGAAAAAAAACAAAAAAGAATGAATTGATTATTTTAACAACGTTCAGTAAAGTACTATTGTCCTGGCGTGGGATCTTCTTCGGGGGGCGTCCTCCTATACTTAATCTTCGGAGACGCCTGCCTATACTCCAGACCACTCGGATACTCCTGATTACTCCGATGCTTCGTCTTCGACATCATCAGCAATGGCAGCTAGCTCTTCTAGGTTGTAAAGCGAACGCTCGTTTCTCAGTTTGTCGCTTCTGCCCGCGTGAACTTCCTTTTTATGCACTATCGAGTACACTATATAAGGCCTTTCTGATCCAGCTGCCATTGGTTATCAATGCGCATTCAAACCAGTTCATGCGCATTATTAGAAGTGCTAGTAGGGAGGCTGAGAGATAATAATCTCTCAGCCTCCCGAGCGGCCATAGACGTAGACATCTATGAAGACCCGGTGAGCCCGTACCTCGAGCCGGCTACGTTTGGCGGCCGACCACCTTTGCATAACAATGCTTTGGTCCTCAAACATTTTAGTCATCAGTTAGTGACAGCATAGATATACAAACACAAGAATCAACTAAATCAAGCAACAGTTCATTAATGTCTATGGTGAATGCAAACAATGAACAGCATCATGCATGAGTATTTTTAGTCTGTCAAGATCTATTGTACTTGTATGTACATTGCTTTGCTTGCTCGCCCCTTAATGTTTTACATTCATCTAGTTAAAACAAGCGTAACAGGGTAAAAAATATTCCTATAATTGATTTCACCACCTTGCAAGTACAACTTGGTCATTATTAAGACTTATAGAGGCTCTCTCTACCTTATAATGCTTTTAGAGAAGTCTTTAGACAGTATCTCTATGCTCTCTTGCTGTTAGAAAGCTCTTAACTTTGTCCCATGTGTAAGCCGCCATTTTGTTTGCCGTGGCCACACCCACTCACGTAAAGGAGCGTGGGCGGGTGGTTGCTAAGGCTTGTTATTTCTCCAATACAACGTGTATAGAAGAAATGTAAGTGTGGACATACAAATAAATAAATATATATATATATTATAGATAGCGCGACGGTGAATTCAATTATAGGAAATAGGGGTGATGTACAGACAGAGTTACATCATATCTATGGTTAGATCTACATCATAGATCTATAGCTAAAACACTAATTTATAACTTGTGTAGTCCTTCCATTATTTTCCACCATTACATACAAAGTCTGTCTGTGTGACATCATCAGTTTCCAATCCACGTTACACAGTTATAAAATCTATGGTTACGTACTCTTCTCGCCCCAATAACTGCAAACTAGTGTTTGGCAAGATGAGAATAAAAAACAAAAATAGACAAACAAGAAACAACTATACATGTACAACTGGCTAATGAATTGTCAGTGGCTACCTAAATTATCCTTCTAAATGATACTACTACACT